CACTCAGGGTTCTGGCTCCTAAAGACCACACCTAGCAAATACATTGGCTACCATTTTCAATGCTACTTATCAGTAACTGACTGAAGTAACTAGCATAGTGTCTTGGCGATCATATCCAAAAAGCCTCGGGCTAATCCAAAACTTAGCCTGGTAAAGAAGGTTTCCCACTTGACAGCATGTAGCTGCCATAGGGATGGGTGAAAAGGAAGGTGTTCGAATGCGTGTGCAATATCTGTCTTGCTTAACCATACAGTAATTCCATCTGAAACGATAGCTTGAATGGCATTGTCTTTTGTGGTGTACTGTAGCTAGATTTCTTCAAACGGGATTAATGAATTTAGGCTAGGCATGGCTGTAGAGTGGGGGGCTGATAAGTCAGCTATTGATCATTTTCTAATTGAAGTTTTTTCTATAACAATCCCTATTGGGTTAGTATGCCATACAGAGAAAGGGGGGACTTTAAATGGGCCTATTAAGAATCCTTCTTCTAATTCTGATTTTATTTGCAGACAGCAAATTATTACATTCCAATATGTCTGTTGGTAAGGAAAGTAAACCTGTGTGAAAACCATGAGTAAACCCTGAGATTAGGAACTCTTAATTGTGGGGATGGATTGTTAGACAGTAATTCTGACAGAACATCGGTTTTAACAGACGATACTGTTTAGGGTAGAATTTATTGAAGAGCGTGCCCTGAACCATACAGAACAATCGAATAACAGTCTGCAAGAACAAAAACCACAAGAACCAGCATTGAAAATATTGCAGATTTGGGCTTTCCCAAGGAAAACAATACGCTGACCAGACTTTAATTCTTTTTGCTTGGCTCGTGTTGTGTTAGTAGTATGATGAGGGCTAGTGGTAGGTGTGTTAGTATTAGCAGGGCATAGGTTTCTTGGAATGTGATGTAGTAGATATTATCACACATGCTGGTGTCCTAAGACTTGCAAAATGTCTGCAGAAGAGCTCTGTATTCAACTGACTTCAATCTGTTTTTATATTGAACTACTCCAAGTCTGCAGCCACCTTGGCTGAGATGAATCGGTGGTAGTCATAGAATGCAGAGGCTCCGTATTTGTAACCCAGATCCACCAACCTGTGGAAATATAAATCAAAATTTTCTCTACAGTGTGGAAACGGGAGCATACTACATCTCTGTAAATACCAAAATCTAGTACGAATTCAGGAATAGATAACTTTTTGTTCAGCCTTGGGTCTCTTGCTACAAGAGAACCATGATTAGAATTATCTGTTTGCACTGGCTTGATGACTAATGCCAAGGGGCAAAACGTTTAACTAATTGGTGACAGGTGAGGCCCTGATAGGTTCCGAGTAGCTTGAGAGGCTCTATCTATGCACTGGATACCTTAAGTAATTTTATTGCACATAAAGAAATGTATATATAGAAGGACATTTCCATACCTTAATATGCCAGACGTAGAGAATAAATCACCTGGCCACCAATACTGTGATAATCTATAAAATGTAAGAGAGTGACCTTTGTGACTATGAGTTAGCACCTAAACTGGCATATAGGCAGTGATGTATTTTGGATATGTGCTGCCATAGGCAGGACAAAACTCAGGCACCCCTCCATCTAAAGTTGCCCCACCCCTACCTGCTTAAGACGAGCACGCAGTTTGACTGACAGACACACACTGACACACCCATTCACTGACAGGCACACTCACTAACAAATACACACTCACAGATATACACCGACAGACACACACATTCACTCACAGACACAGTGACATAAACACTCACTTGGACACACAGGGACAGACATGCACACATTCAGTCACATACACACTGACAAACACACACATTCATTGACAGATACACACACATTTACTCACAGACACACTGACACACACACACACACACATATTCACTAACAGACACACACATTCACTGACAGACACACATAAATTCACTGACAGACACACACATTCACTGACAGACACATACACATTCACTGACAGACACACACACACATTCACTGACACACACACACACACACATTCACTGACAGACACCCTGATACTGACACACTCACAAACATACACAGTATTATATATTTTTAAATTTTTTATTTTAATCCACCCAGCTTCCCTATCTTTGGGAGAGCTGTAGTGGATTCTTCCCTGTGGTCCAGTTGGGCTTGCTGTGCGGCAGAGCGTTCAGGCAGGCAGGCACACAGTTGTGGCAGCAAGGGAGCTGTAATCCTCCTGCTAAGATCCTTTGTGCGCCGCTCGGTGATGCCGGGAGCCGGAGTGACGTCATTTCCCAGCTCCCAGCATCAGTGCGGGGCGCAAGGGAGATGAGCTGGAAGAGCTCCCTTGTGCCCCTCCCCCACTGCACTGTGAGCATTTGAGAGCCTCGGGGGGGCCTGAGGTGGCCAGCCAGCCATCTCTTGGGCCCCCCATGAAAGAGACTAACAGGGCATCTGCCAGGACGCTTAGGGGGTGGCTTTTTTTGCCGCCCCCCCTAAAAATGCCGCCCAAATGCCTTGTTAGCCTTGTGGGAAATACACCACTGCATATAAGGACATAAACATTTGCCAGTAACATGCCAGGTAATAACCGAAGATGTCTATCTCTATTTGTATTATAACCGAAGATGTGTCTAAATTAATTACTAATGACAGGATAGTGGACTATAGAAGGCCTAATAGGACGTATAGAAGCATAAGTAGCGTAATTTATTGAATAGTAAGAATAAGTAAATCGTATGGAGGCCGACGACTTATACACCCTCCTCCTAATACATATACGTAGAGTTTGATCATTGTATTCATAACAGAAGATCAACGTACGAAACATGCTGCGCTGATCAAGATACGATTACTGGCTAGAGAAGGTGAGTAATTTAAATAGCCGCAATTACTCCATCCCACAACACCAGGCTCCCACCTTTATATAGATAGTGCATAGCTGTTAAGTCTACTTTATACATTTAACACTCCTGCTGCATCAGTTATTTGGTATGTAAGAATCTTGGGCTCCTCTTCTCCAAACAGTAAGTTGTAAATTGAGAGACCAAAAAATATCTCCAATGCAGCAGTGCAGTTTATTTCTTTACATCTCTGGTATTTTGTCCTATGTTTTTAAACTTTGTCTCCTCTAGTCTTCACAATTTGGTGTTTAGTCAATAGACCTCTAAATGATTTTGCATCAGAATTTCAACAGTGTGATACAATGTCAGTACAATAAATGTGCCCCTGTGTTCTCTTGCAGCAATTTGGTCGAATTCAGGCCCAACACTATATGTCACAAAAGTGTCTCTTTTTTCATGCATTCAAAAGTGCTGCATATCTTTGTATTCGTATTCCATCTTCCAGTCTCAGTTACACAAGAAGATTGTACATGTTTTACAAAATGATAGAAAATTCACCTTTACGCCTCACAGAGATAAAATAGTCCATTTCATACCATGCAGTCAGATCACAAACACATCTTATTTCCTACACTTTTTTAGCTGCTTGCGTTAAGTTAGTTCTTTAAGTAAAAGGAGTGATCACTATGGGTATGCTCGCAATGTGTATTGTATAGCTATGATATGGTGCTGAGAGTCAAAAATAGATCGCCAAGGGAATATACCTAATGGACGTTCAAGGAGAAGAGACAAGAAGCACAGAGCTGCTGGGTAACTCCAATTCAAAATGTCTTCATGTGCCAAAAAAACACTTTGGTGGTCGTATTTACACATGATCTGAAATGGCATCCCAGGGTTTGTCTAATCTTTTGAGATATACCATGTGGCTATAATGGTTTAATAAAAAGTCACAAGTGAAGGTTTTAAACAATGAGACATGGAGGGCATTTACTACCAAGATAATGACTACAGAAAAGTTCTATGCCAAAGGCTTGGAAAATAAAGCAGAATTTTTCAAGGTCACCTTTCATCTTGAAGCCTACACGTGAAGGGTGCTGTGTAAGATTAAAATTACTCTGTGAAGGAGAAATGATAAAGGGTAAATATTTTCCAATAGTTTCCTGCACGGTGGGGCTTAACGCTACGATGAAAGTGTTCTGCAATTTTTATGAATTCCTATTTAATTGTATACTGTGCGGCCTTAACCCTGTAATGTCTGGCAAAAATGCCAGTAGCTTGAAAGTCATTTAGATTTAATGATTATTGTCTCTACTTTGTCATTACAATAGTTTTGGGTGCGCAGGATCCCACATGTCCAAAATTAGTTTGGCTGTCAAAAAACATAAAATTTATTTGACAAAGATCTGTTAAATACTAGGGATAAATGCCAGTACCCTTCTGTCTGACCTATATAAAAAATAAATAAAATCTAGCGCCTACTGGATCACTTACATTATTATTATTATTTTAGTCATCATAGTTTTCTGCTGGTAATGATGGGGCTGCTGTAGCATTAGATATAAATGGGCTTACTGTGTTTTGAAGGGACAAAGAGTTAAAAAATCAGTTAACTTAAAGATCCTGAAACTCTAAGTATCATTAACCCCTTAAGAACACACGATGGAAATATTCTGTCATGCTGACCTTTTACTTTTTTTTTTAAAAAATTCTTTATTTTTCACTCAATAGACGTAGCAAGTGTACATCAACATTTGGGCTTTCGCAGAAGCCAACTTGAATACAAATCTTGGAAATATAATGCAGTTCAATAAATACAATACATGCCCATTCCTTAAAAACCATTGGCACCTGCCTTCTACCGAGGGTTGTTATATTTTTATAAGGACAGGCATTTAGGCGGTATGAGGAGCCCTTTCTAGTCAATAACTAATCTTACTCATGAGCTACCTTGTTCCTCCAACAGTGTGATCATGCCTGGAAAAAAAAAAAGGCCTCATTCCCGAGAAAAACCAGGGGAAGGACCAAAAAAAACAAGATGAGACAGGAAAAGTATGTAATTCTAAGAAAAAGAAGAGAAAGAAGATATAGTGTCAGGAAAGGGTGAGCAAAGAGAAGATAGAGGGGGAGGGGGTGGAGGGGAGGGCGGAGGTCCCCCCAATGGTAGCGCGATAATTATGTCCCCCGTGAGGAGGGGTCTTTTATTACTAATTCGGATCTGTCATCCTAAACCGCTCCCTGTCAATCTCCGCTCTAACCCACTAAACTATTGTCCCATGGTTCCCAATTTTTTTAGAATGCCGCTGTCGTCCCTCTTACCCTCGCTGTCAGGTTGTCCATAATTCAACATTCTCTGATCCTAGATATCACCCCTGGGAATTCTGGGCCCTGTGGTGAGAGCCATGCGGTCGCTATTGCTCGGCGTGTGCTCAGAGTTATCATATGTACTAATTTCTGTTCTCTCCTAGTCCATCCGTCCAGTGATCTATTTACAGGTAGATCCACGGGTCCATGTCCAGGGGCCGGTCAAACGTCTGTTTCAACAGATCCTCCACGGACCCGCTTTCTTACCTCTTCTCCCCCCACGACATACAGACACACATACATACAGTGACACATACACACAAACATACAGACACATACATACATAGACACACACACACACACATAGACACATACAGACAGACACAATACATGTACATACACACAGACGGACACACACACACACACACACGACACACATATATACATATGACACACACAGACACATACATACAGACCGACACAGACACAGATAGACACACATACAAAAGACACATATACATACAAAGACACATACATACAAACAGACAGGCATACATACATAAATATAGACACACATACATACAGACAGACACGCACACACATAAACACAGACACACACACATACATACACACACACAGGGGGAAGGGGGAAAAACTTACCTTTTTCCAGCGCTGGGCGGGGAGCTCTCCTCCTCCAATCCTCCACTGTTCCTCCCCGTCGGCTGAATGTGCACGCGCGGCAAGAGCTGCGCACGCATTCAGCCGGTCACATAGGAAAGCATTATCAATGCTTTCCTATGGACGCTTGCGTGCTCTCACTGTGATTTTCACAGTGAGAATCACGCAAGCGCCTCTAGCGGCTGTCAATGAGACAGCCACTAGAGGATTTGGGGGAAGGATTAACCCATTTATAAACATAGCAGTTTCTTTGAAACTGCTATGTTTATAAAAGAATGGGTTAACCCTAGCTGGACCTGGCACCCAGACCACTTCATTAAGCTGAAGTGGTCTGGGTGCCTAGAGTGGTCCTTTAAGTTCTGGCTAATAGGATGGAACTCTGGTAAGTCGTGTTAAATCTCTGTGGTTTAAAGACTGGAGATGTTTGGTTATAAGTTATTTATTTTGAAGTGAATACGTTACGTTTTGTAATTTTTTTTTCACGAAATAAAAGAGACTGCCTTTTTCATCACATATTTCAGTCTGTATTTTTTTTATTATGTTCATTCTATGTTTTATTATGTTCATTTATTATTTTGTTTATATTATGTGTGTGTTAGAATTAACCCCTGCAGTGCACATGCCCCTGGCAGCATTATGCCAATGAAATCAAAAGCATTCTAATATATCAACTATGTTTTTAGTGTAACATTTTTAAGTCAACAGTAAAAAGCCATCATTTTAAAAGTGAGTTTTATCATTGTAATAAAGAGTGTGCATTCATTGTAGCCATGCAGTATACATTTTCTTTAAAACATCAGGAAAAAAGGTTAATGCGATTCCTCGTCTAGTAAACCACTCGAATCTAGTCAGCTCTTAAAAAGAAAATCTCAAGGCACAATATTCTTAACAGAATGTAACGCTATAGAGTCTCAATAGCAACAAGTAAAAATATGTAGTGAGCTAGTTTAACCCCTTAAGGACACATGACATGTGTGACATGTCATGATTCCCTTTTATTCCAGAAGTTTGGTCCTTAAGGGGTTAAAGCAACATATATATTTATCTAATTTGCTCAAAATAAAAGTTGACTAAAATGCCATGTTCAAGTGCACATTTAGTTCCTTGTATGAGAATGAAAAATTTAAATATACAAAGCAAAATAAATAAAAAATATAAATCATACGTAGTATGTAAAATCACTGCCTTAAACAAAAAAAAGCTTTCAGAGTAGTGCAGCAGCTGCAGGGTTAAACTTTAATTTAGGAGAGGTACAGGGGAAGAGGAGTGACCCTTTTCAGCCAATAGGTGATGCTGAATAGACCGGGACAAAGTGAGGAAGTGAATTAGTGAGAGAAAGTTTATGTGCATGAGGCTGACTGCACTCATATCTCTCACAGTGTGAACAGGCTGCTGAACACAGACAATGAGTGAGGAGCTCCCCCCTCTCAATGGGTAACATCACTGACTGGGGGTTTAATGGGGGTGCATGACAGGGGCTTTAGGTTGTAATTGGGGATAGTCAAGTGACCTTTGTTTATCTTTTATTGGCAGGATGTGTCATTCATGTACATGACAAGATATGAGTGTTTATAATCCGGGGGGACCAGGAAGTAGATCCCCAGCTGTTGCAGAAGGACTGCAACCCCTTTGATGCTTTGCCAACCTTAAAGCTGGTTAAGAAATATGGAAGTTCTGTTTCTGCAACAACTGGGCTGTTATGGTTTCCCCTGGTTTACATGGTAGATTATGGTGTTGGCTTATCTGTGGCATTCCAGGAGCATGGGGCTGTTTCTCATTACTCTCAGCCAGCCATCTGACTGTATAAGTGCGAGGGATATGCAGTTAACAGCTGTATTACAATACCAACGCTAATTCTGATCATATGCTATAATGTAATTGTTCTAGTAACTGACAATAAGGGCTCTGCAGTGTTAATTGTTTCATGTACCGCACCCCATACTCTCCAACAACTAATGATGTTTGTTTATTTAATACACTGCATTATAGCAAACTGAAATCCAAATGTTTACTATTACTTTTTGTGAATGTTAAATAATCTACACAAAACTCCACGCTATGCTGGATCAAAATGTGACTATATTGTATAAACAATGGCATTTGCGCTGGTCCCACAATATATACAGGGTTATTCACTGAAGTGTGAACTGTTGTAAATTTGGAATTCATTTAGAAATTTTAGTTTAACATAGTTAAATTACTAATATTCTAATACACATTTTATTTTACTTTGAATTTCTAACAATTCCCTCTGTAGTGAATAACTCCTGTTAAAGTGGCACTCTGGACACCTAAAGTACCTTAGCTTGCTGAAATGCTTTGTGTGTAAAAAGTGCCCACTTTGATTTCAGTTTACAAAAGTACATGACCACACAGCAAGAGTTTTCTATAACCAAAAGAAAATACAATTATTTTTTTCTAACTCTATAACACCACCATTTCCCTTCAATATTCTCTGACTCCCTTTATGGTCAGTGGTAGATTCTTGCGGACGGGCACCAGGGCAAGTGCTACCTTCAATCTTACGTGTGTACATATTTATTGTCATTTTTTTTTTTCTCTAAATTTGGAAAGCACCATGTGTTCTATTTATGGATGCAGTGCAGCCCCAAATCCCGCTTCCAATATATTACCCTCTGTATTTGATGGCATAGGTGCAGGAACATTAAAGATGTGTTATGGCTGCCTGTCACTGCTATTCACGTTATCTTGCGGTGTAGGCTTTGGCATTCGATCCTTTCTGCACCCAGCTCGGGCCACACTCAGTAAGAGAATACCTTCTAAATAAACCCCATTGCCTGACACAGTTCCTGTACCTATTTCACTATGCTAGGAGTTATTGTAAATGTGCACCAGAACACTGTATCTGATACTCCACCACACACCCATCTTCTTATCACCCCTACTGGCCCTATCATTCCTATCCCTTCTTCTCTGCAAGGTCATATTGTTTCAGAGAGAAAGTAATATTTGCTTAGTGCCATTTTCTTTCTCCATCCTCTTATCCATTCCACCACTCTGCATCCTCATGTAACAACCACCAACCCCCTCTACTACCCACAGCATATTCTATTTCCACTTTCTTTCCTCTCCCTGTGCTCATATTACTCCCATCCATACGTTTCCCATGCTTGTATGACTCCCTATCATCCTTTTTACGGCTCAATATTCTGATCACCATTTGTGATGGCAGTGAGCCTCACAATCTAGTCTAAGTCTCTTATTTTATAGGCCCCTGTCCAACAGTTATCCCCCAGCTGCTTGAGTGGATCAACTTTTATAAACTGAAAACTTCAATACAGCAACTGCTGTCAATCTACACACTGCCGAAATCATTAAACTAGCAAACCAGGCTATGTGCCCTGTGTGTCAGTGCCATGCTTTTGTGCATGTTCTGGGTACCATGTTGGGTGATCCTAGTGTAAATGTCTTTTAATTTTACCAACACAATGTGTACATAACTCCAATACCTTCCAACACCATTTATTTAAAAAAGGGGGTATAATAAAACCTCTTTAAATATAACAAACATAACCAGTTGTGAGCCACTCTTGGTTTAGATTCTTAACCCCAAGCCTGGATGCAGTTTACACTGAAGATGTCGTTACTCTCTCAATTTGCCTTCTAGGCATGGAGCGGAAGCTTTGTCCAAGAAACGGGAAGATTATTTGGAATGGTGCGAATATTTTATGGCTGTTGCATTTTTAGCAGCTCAGAGAAGTAAAGATCCCAGTTCCCAGGTAAAGTATGTACATGGAAGTGATGCCATGAGCTGGTTGATGGTACAGGTAGTCCTCACTTTATGACTTGCCTATCTAACAATGTCTCGGACTTATGGCCAGCTCTCTAGTACGGGGTTTTGAGGGATTCCCCACGTTAGAGAGCTGGTCTATGGTCAGGGAAATTTCCCCGAACATAGACCTGTTTTGGTGCGCATCCTCACTTACCGACCAATTCGTTTTATGATCGAGTCGTAAGAATGAAACGTGGTCGGTAAGTGAGGACTGTCTGTAATGTGGGGGATTTTATGCAATGGCCAGCCATAGTTACATCTCATTGGACATGTTTACATTTTCAAAGGTTTAAATAAGAAAGATAATCTAGTAACTGTCTGACAGGCACTAAAGTCATCGTTTGAGACAAATATTGTTTCAGAGAGAAAGTAATATTTGCTTAGTGGACATTTTTTTTGTTTGAGTGTCCTTTAAAGGGTTACTGTAAACATAAACACCATGCCCTCTACAGTGTTTAAGTTGTCATGGTGCCAGATACTTCATTATGAAGTGCTGCACAAACATAGATATTTAATATTTTTACTGCAGGTGTACTCCCCAGCTCCAGCAGTGTCATTAGGCATCCTGGAGCGATAGATGTCAATGAATGACCAGCAGGATTGGCAGTGGTCTTCTGCAGAAGCTGGATGCCATTCAACTGCTATTAAAGGATGATTGACGCCCAGTTAAGAGGCAAACCAGTTGGCTCTAGGACAGGGCTTGACAAATCCCAGGTCGCCCTGGCGCCTGGGATATGCCAACCCTTTAGCTAAGGATGCCAGCTGAGGCAGCAAGGAAGAAGTGATCAGTTCCTCTCTGCTGCCTCACGCACTGCTTAATTGAACCGGAATATAATGTAACTCCGGCACCAGGATCTCTGCAGAGAGGAACTGCAGAAAGATTAGAGAGCAGCCTCACAGGACCCAATGGAAATATCCACTCCAGCTCTTCCAAAGGTAGAGACACTGTATGGACTTAAAACAAAAATGACAATTTGTGAGTGTGTGAGAAAATGTCTGTGTTTCTCAGTGTGCTGGTGTATGCACCTGTGTGTCTCTGCTTGTTTAGGTACCTGCCCTTCCAATCACACAAAAAAGGTGTTTGTACTTGCATTTTTTCCCCACACTGTGCTCGTTTCGCCAATGGCTAGTTCCTCCTCCATAAAGATTGATGATCTCAGCTAAGCCAATTCTTTCCCATAGGAAAGCGTAAGAAGGATATTGCGCATGCGCAACTGTATTTACATTGAAAAGACTTGCAGGGCAGATTATAGACACCAGAACAACTACATTAAGCTGTAGTGCTTCTGGTGACTAGTGTCCCTGTAAGAATTGCATGTTTCTCGTCTTAAAATTAAACTTTGTCAGTTAAAAAATAAAAATGGCTCTTTGATTCCAAACAGCCCTGCATTAGGATACTTCTAGCATCAAACCAACTACAACATTCTATACTGGTTATGATGCTTGGACTAACCCTTTTAAATAGGAAAGTGATTTTGAGATGCATCATGCTGTCTTCTGTCAATGCCCTTCAGTTTTTATGCAATCACCTAAAATATATATGTTAACTATGGGGAATGATTGCCATATAGTAGAGATTTTGAAATCTATAATATCAATTATTGATCGTGTAGTGTTGACTACGCTATATATCCTTTTGATTGTTAATTGATTTACGTAGCATGTGTACATTCACTTTTAACTGCAGCATTGACTTTGTCCACATTTATATGATGTTGCCTTCCTCTGACGCCTATGTCTGAGAACTACCTGTTATTGTGGTATAGTGTCAGAAAGAACTCCCTGTAAGCTGTTTGTCCAACATTTTTGCATGTATACAGTATTTATACTTGTGTGTTTAGAGATCTTTCGGCTGCATAGACCTGCAGTTGCTTTATGGGCCAGAAGCTGGTCAATGAGATGGATTTCTGTTTTAACTTGCAAACTGTCTTTTTTTTTTTTTTCTTTTCAGGTGGGTGCATGTATTGTTAATTCTGAGAACAAGATTGTTGGAATTGGCTACAATGGGATGCCTAATGGTTGCCATGATGATGTGCTTCCTTGGGCACGCACTGCTCAGAATAAACTGGACACGAAGTATCCGTATGGTGTGTAAAATTTGTGTGGTTTGATGACTTTGATATGGGGTTAAAGTCTAATAAGTACAGGGCATGACAAATTTGCTTTGAATGTACCAGCTAGCAAAAAAAAAAAGTTAGGCCAGGTTTATTTATTTTAAATAACAATTTTCAATTACTAAATTACAATTCTTAAAGGGACACTATACTCACCAGAACCACTGCATAATAATGTAATGATTCTAGTGTCTATACCCTGTCCATGCAGGCTTTTCAATGTAAATACTGCCTGGTAACAGTCTACATACCTAGACCACTAGAGGTGCTTCCTAGTAAAGTACAGCACCTCTTTTCAGCGTCTCCACCTCTGCAGGCAAGTGCTGAATGTTCCCAATACAGATGCATTGACTCAATACATCTCTATGAGGAGATGCTGATTAGCACATGCGCAGTAGCCTCCCAATGCTTTCCTGTGGGAAGGCATTTGATTGGCTGAGGTCATAAAGATTCATTCTCAGCCATGGAGGCAGGGCAAGCCACTGTGAGACCGGAACAGCATGGGGGGGAGGGGGGGAAGACGCAGGTGCCAGGACAAAATTCCAACTCGCCATGGCGACCTGATATTTGTCGAGCCCTAAATTAGGATCTATTTATTCAAGAAAGAAAAACACATAAATAGAAATGGTCATAATATGTATAAAGGAGTATTTACACATTTTTTATTTTATAAATACTAAATTTAACATCTAAAGTAATACATTAACTTACAAATCCATTCCAGGGCTGAACATACAATATATGTAGCCCACGTATGAGAAATGTTATCAGGGTTATTCACTAAGGTGACAATTCAAAGGGAGTTCCTCTATAAATATGTGTGAAATAAGATCCTTTCAAGCCTTCAATTAAAACAAAATGTTTATTTGGATGATTTCTCCCCCTCCCCCCATATGTGTTGATACTGCATATATATTTGTACTGCCATGATATATACTGGATAGAACTTAATCTATAAAATTGCCTGTGATATTTCAATTTTGATTACCTTTCCAGTCACCCCTTTTCAGCTTCAATTGTAGGACAGGTTGATATATGCATTTAGAATCATCCTAACCTTATTCTCTCTCGGAATAGCCAAATGTAGGAACTTATTTTTATAAACCCATCTAATTTTTCCTACTAACTGAAATTGAATTTGTGCGGTAGTGTAAGAAAAAAAAAAGCTTTTGAATGCTTTCCACTGGTTTTTGAATGGAACCAGCTGTGGCACTTTCTGAATGTGGTATGTAGATGAAATGGGATTTTGTAACTTTTTTTTATTTTTTATTTTTTAATTTATAAGTTTTATTTTAAGACCTCTTCTGCATTTGAAATTACATTTTTCAATAGTAAACATCCATTTGGAGAAGGAATACTGATTGCTGCAAACGTGTTTTTATTTATTTATTTTTTTGACACTTTTATACCCTACCAAAATACCTTTCTGTATATTTTAAAGTGTACCTGCTACGGTACACACAATTTATTTCATTTTAATATGTACTGTGCTAGCAGATAGATATAGATAGATAGATATATATAATTTTATTTTTTTTTCGATATTTCACCTCAATGCCGGTATACACAACTGTGAATTCTCAGCCTGGAGACTGACTATACGCTATAAGAAGAGACTTCCTTGTTTTACATGGATTGACAGGAGCAGTAGGAGGAATCTCCTGTGTGCTCCCCCAGACCTGGCCCTGTCTACCTCCAATGTGTTTAGCCTTGAGGAAGTGCTCCTAAGCAGTGTTAATTGTGTAGAATAGGGGCAAAAGGTAGGCAGAGACAGATGGACTGCTTTAAAGGGACACTATAGTCACCTGAACAACTACAGCTTAATGTAGTTGTTCAGGTATGATCTATAGTTCCCTGCAGGCAATCTAATGTAAACACTGTATTTTCAGAGAAAATAGTGTTTACATTGATAGGCATACCTCCAGTGGCCGTCACTCAGGCAGCCACCAGAGGGACTTCTATCATGCAGGGCCCTAAAAAGGCCTTGTACACGGCAGACGTATTAAAATACGTCTGATGTGTGCAGGAGAGCGAAGGCACTGTCAGCAGAGGAGAGGGGGCGGGCAAAGACCGCGAGCTGAGCTGTCAGTCAGCTCAGCTCACCACCGCGCGCATGCGCGTTAGTGCGCTCAGGACTTCAGAGGGCGACATGATTGCCGCCCTCTGAAGTATGTGCACATGTGTGGCGAAGCCGCACAAGGGAGCAATGATGCTTCCAAATGGAAGCGTCTGATTGCTCACGCCCGCCTATGTCGTCATTTTGACGAAATAGGGGGCGCGGCTTCACGAGGCTCCCGGTGCTGGAACCAGGTGAATAAAATTTTTGCCTGGAGAGTCACTTTAAAATCCACAAAGACAGTATGACAGCAACATTCTAAGCACTGCATAGGAGGTTAGTCCAGGTCTAACAGCAAAAGTGGTCGGTTAACCCTGAAAGATGGCTAACATTTGGACGGTTTCTACAAATGCAGACAGTGCCTGGAGAATGGCCATTTGACTGATTTTTTTTTTTTTCTTTTTTTTTTTTGGTTCACTTCTATAAGAACCCTCTGAAGAATGGTGAATGCAAATCTCTCACAAAAGTACACCTTTTGCACCACAGTAATTTATCTTGTAGTTTTTTCAGGGGGGTGCATGTATTGTTAATTCTGAGAACAAGATTGTTGGAATTGGCTACAATAGGATGCCTAATGGTTGCCATGATGATATGCTTCCTTGGGCACGCACTGCTCAGAATAAACTGGACACGAAGTATCCGTATGGTGTGTAAAACTTGTGTGGTTCGATAACTTACTCCAAGCTTCTCATGATGCTATGATGCCAGGAGTACCCTGGCTGGGTTCCTCTGTATTGGGGAAACCTACTCAGCAGTGGTTTACTCCCTTACAGGGGGGCATTATTCATGGGTCAAGAGTTACGGCTGACCGCTCTCAGCCAATGACTCATTCTGTGCATTGAAAGTTGCACAGAACTGGCATTCGTAAACCTGGAACTCTAATTGTGGGCTGACTAACACTGCAATCACACTGATGGAGGTGTAGTTACACCGCCGGCAGGAGAGGGGTTAAACTTCGTATGTGCAGCATTTCAAATCGAAACATTGCATATAGAAAGTCCAGGCACTGGACTACTGCAAATTACTGAAGTGGTCATGATACTTGGAGTAACCGTTTTAAAATTACCGGTAGAATAAAGTGTTGTTTTTTTTTAATTTATTTTTTTAGTCTGCCATGCTGAGCTTAATGCCATTATGAACAAGAACTCTGCAGATGTGAAGAACTGTGTCATGTATGTGGCTTTATTTCCATGCAATGAATGTGCTAAACTCATTATACAAGCAGGTAAGTGTATATATTTTTATTCTTTCACGATCAATATATTTATTTGTAGTTAAAGGAACAAATACATTTATGCATTTAGCTTACCTTCAATGGAGCACCAGGACAATGTTCAATCTGCTGCCCAAACACCTATTATAAGATTATCAATCTCGATGATCTCTGGTTCACTCCGATGACTCTTGTAGAAGCATTACAGACCTATGGTGCATCAGTGGCAATCATCTGCTAATTCTATGCTTCTCATAAAATGTCATGTGTGACGAAGCCCTGAGATAATGAAATGACAGCCACTTGAGATGTGTGCTTGGCAAACTGTAAACATTACCATTTTGTCAGAAACATTGTCTGAGAAAGTGGACAGCATCTATGCACTGTATTAAAGGCATTCTATAGTATAAGGAATAAAAATCTGTATTCCTTACACTACAGTTCCCACTGGACCTCCCCCACCCCCTTGAATCCCCTTTGGCATGGAAAGGGTTAAAAAACATTCTCCCTCGGCAATGAGTTGGTGCCCAATGGGGGGGTGTTAATGTGCGTTGAGCTCCTTTAAAGGGCGTTAGGTGTTCCCCACAGGAAAGTATTGATTTAATGCTTTCCTATGTGGATTTTTCGGACGCTCAATGTGCTCATACAGAGCGTGTGGCTGTCCAACGTCAGGTGACCAAAAGTTGCTTAGCCAACAGGAAGGGCCTCTAGTGGCGGTCTGACAGCCACTAGAGGCAGTCTTAGTCCTGGAGTTCAATTATTGCAGTTTCTCTAAAACTGCAATTATTTAGATTGCAGGATTCAGGGGGACAGGGACACTGCAACCAGACCACTTCAATAAGCTAAAGTGGTGTGGGTGCCTATAGAGTCCCTTTAAGAGTTAGTGATTTTTGGTGCTTAGCATCCCTCTGTCTGCACTAATTTGATGAAACTGAAGCCTTACATTTTATGTTTTTCTCAACCATGTTACAGATCCTAGATATATGATTAATGTCCTATATAAATGTAACTGTCACAAAATAATTTGCTTTTTTTTTTTTTAAAGCTTTAAAGCTGTCCTTTATTATAAAACAGGCTTTGCACCCCATATGGTAAAAATGTACGTGTATATATACCAAACCCCCAAAATGTAAAGAATGCAAACTGAATATGTTATACACACACTTCCCCTCTAATATAGGGGATCTAAATTGAAAGAAAAGCCAGTGGTAGAAAAATGTTATCGAAAGTTAAACCAATAAGGATTTTGATTTTCTATTCCATACACAATCCTATGTGGCTTTTTATAAAAGGGGAAAAAAATAAATTATGGAAACCAAATCATATATTTACCCCTTATGATATAAGCACAACAGCCTGTCTAACAGGATTTTAGACCCCACCAGAGGTAGTGGATTGTGAGTTCCTGAACCTTTTTGAATGTAATTTGATACAACATGCAGGTTACAAGTTTTGAAAATTTTCTGAAATGTTTTTGTTCTGGAAGAATATTAATAGAATCTTAATCTTTGTGTGCTATTGCTGACATTATTATTTTATGTCCATAGGTATAAAAGAAGTAATATTCATGTCTGATAAGTATCATGACTCACCAGAAATGCAAGCATCAAGACACATGTTTGACCTCTCTGGAGTCAAATACACGTAAGGACATATAGTATTTCTATTCTTTTTAGAGTAAATTGTCATGTGAATTTATTTTTCACGATAACTAGAGGGTTTGTGAAGCTCCACTTCAGCTTATTGGTCTTCAGGAACAACGTATTGAAAAGGTTATGGTGCTAGGATTTTGTAAGGATGCTATAGGGTCAGGAAAACGAGTTTGTTTTCCTAACACTATAGTGATACTTTATGTGTTAACACAGTCACAGAGATGATACACCAGTGAGACACTCCAGGGGTCTCTCGGGGCTTAACCCCCAATGTATGAAAAAGGAATAAGCCAAAATCTTCTCACATAAGTGAGGAGAGGGCTCCCTGGATATATACCAGTATCTAAAGTAATGGTGTGATCTCTGTGGTGGAGACAAATGTAACAAAAACGTATCAGCAAAATGGCTATATACATAAATTCCTGAGCCTTGTAAGGCTATTCCTATATTGCATGAAAACAGGTCTACCACACAGTATACACGACTGGCTTAAATGTTGGTAAAAAGTAGGTCCAGTGTATGGTAGATTCTGTATGTATATTAGTCAGATTTGAGCAAAGATCATCACAGTATGTGTATCAAAATAATATACAAAGTAATCATGCCAATCGTATCAATAATACTATACTAAAATAATACCTGATGGGACGGGTCTACTAAACAGTGCACATGACCAGGTGGTACAAATAGCAATAATTTGTACCACTTGGATACATTTTTTGTGATGATTTTTTACTCCATCTCAGACTGAAATCTGACTTAGAAATATACACAGGATCTCCCTTATACCAGGCCCATTTTGGCTGATTTTTTTTTTTTATTTAAATAAAGCCAGTCATGTGCACTGTCACATCAGGTAAAGGAATAGCTTATAATTTCTTCCTCTTCTCCCCTCCCCCCCCTATTTTCTGAGTCAGATTTTACTACAATTTATCTCCTTCTTACCAGTCTATGCGAAGACCACCCTTTGACTCTGTATTAAAGGAGCACTATAGGGTCAGGAACTCAAATGTATTCCTGACCCTATAGGGTTAAAACCACCATCTAGCCACCCCCTCGTGCCTTCCTAAAAATATTAAAACTTACTTGTATTAAAGTCTGCAGCTACATATTTTGTCCCTGTTTCCTTTAGACCGGCCTGCTGACATGGGCGACCACAGGGGGATCAAGGTATTTTGCAGCTTGTTCTGCTAATTTTCGTGTGAGATTGAAAATACAGTGCAATAATGGCGCCGGCCAGTAGGTGGCGCTGTGTATGGAGAGAGACAGGGTTAGGAAGCTGAGTCTTATCCCTGCTTCTCTCTGACTGAATCCGCAGGGGAGCAACACATACATCCAGCAGAGATATCCTATTGATCAGGTAAGTGAGGCATGGGGGGCAGAGATAGGACTGTGTCAAATGAAGGAGAAGAAAAGGAGATTGGAGCAGGAAGGACAAGTGAAGTGAACCCTCCACTTTATTCTGGACACCACATCATAAGGCTTTGGTACCGTTGGGTAGGGGTGTTGCTGATTGGCTAGAGCGGTCAGCTGGCACTCTAAGCCAATCAGTAGCTCCCCATTCATAAAAAAGTAAAACATTTTTATGAACTGGGAACTAGCGATTGGTTTAGAGCATCAACTGACCACTCTGGCCAATATACAGCACCCATGCCTGACGTCAATGTGCACTTCCTGACACTCTGAAAGGGTCTGCAATGAGCAGGAAGGGGTAGCAATGAGCGGGAAGGGTCTGCAAGGGGTGGGAAGGGCCTGCAAGGAGCAGAAAGAGAAAGTAGCAGAAAGGTAAAGGAGCAGAAAGTAGCAGAAAGGTAAAGGAGCAGAAGGAGCCAAGGAGGAGGGAAGACAGTGTCAGAAGAAAAAGACTGTATCAAATGGAGAAGAAAATGAGATTGGAGCAGGAAGGACAAGTGAAGTGATCCCTCCACTTCAATCTGGACACCACATCATAAGGCTTTGGTACCTGGGCCTGGCAGGAAACTTTGGACCTTCTCATCTCCCCAGGTAAAAAACATATCAGAACTAGAGATTGGCTTAGAGCATCAACTGACCACTCTAGCCAATATACAGCACCCATGCCTGACGTCAATCTGCACTTCCTGACTCTCTGTTTCAGAAGACGAATACCACTGAGCGACCTGGAGATCTGGAGCTGGAGGAAGCCTTTGGGGTTAAACCATTTGAGAGTGATTTAACCCCTTAAAGGAAAGAGAGCGCCCAGTGGCTTCCTGGCATCATAGCATTTTAATTTAGATGAAGTTGTTATGGTGACCAGAATGTTCCTTTAATTTGCTTAAAGGAACACTAGTGTCAGGAATACAAACCTGTATTCCTGACACCATAGTTGTGAAAACGCTATTCACCCTGGCTTTATGTGATAATGACTATGCTCCTCCCCTTCATGACACTGTCAAAAAGGGACCATGCATGGATGTCATTACAATTATACCCCTCCATGGAAAAATTCCTGCGGACGCCCATGCCTGCTGACATCAACAGAAGTGGTAGCCTGATCCAATCATGATGCTTCCCCATAGGATTGGCTGAGACTGACAAAGAGCCAGATCAGGGGCAAAGCCAGCACAATTCAAACACAGCCCTGGCCAATCAGCATTTCCTCATAGAGATGAACTGAATCAATGAATCTGAGGAAAGTTCAGTGTCTGCATACAGAGGGAGGAGATACTGAATGTGTGGATGCATTTTAGGCAGCCATGACCCAGGAAGGATCTCTAACAGCCATCTGAGGAGTGGCCAGTGAAGTTATCACTAGGCTGTAATGTAAACTGCATTTTCTCTGAAAAGACAGTGTTTACAGCAAAAAGACTGAAGGTAACAATTCTACTCACCAGAACAAATTCAATAAGCTGTAGTTGTTCTGGTGACTATAGTGTGTCCCTTTAAGGCAGGGGTTCCCAATTAATTTTTCCCCTGGAACCCTTTGACATAGTGTATCAACATCGTGGAAACCCCCGCCCCCACACAGATACACACCTTGACACACTGTGTGTGTGTGTGTGTGTGTATCTCTGTGTCAGTGTGTGTATATGTATCTGACACACGGATATACACGGATACACACTGACACACACCTTTACACACAGATACACACACTTGCACCCACATATACATACAAACACACTGATACATACTGGCATATACACACTCTTTGACAGACACACTCTCACTGACAGACACACACTCTTTGACAGACACGCATACTTTTACAGACACAAATACAAACACATATACACTCTCATTGACAAGAACAGATACATTCTTGCTGACAAACACATACACTCACACACTCACTGACAAGTACACATTCACTCTCACTGACAAACACACAAAAACTCCCTATCAGACACATACAATTTTTTTTATTTTTAAACATTTTACTCCACCCAGCCCCCCCCCCCACCTTTAGGAAGGCTGGCATGGAGTCAGTGGGGCTTCTGGCAGCTTGGCAGATAGTCAGGAGGTCTGGCAGACAGGTGAGCGGTGGTGACATGCAGCGAGGGAGTTCTGATCTCCCTGCTCACCTCCCTAGCGCGCCTCTTAGTGATGCCAGAGTGACGTCATATTCCGGCTCCGGCATCACTGCTGTGCGCGTGAGGGAGCTGAGCAGGGAGATCAGAGCTCCCTGCTCCATCGCTGCCCGCGGCCATATTTTTTATTTTTATTTTTTTACTTTTTTTTTTTTTTTTTTTTTTTTTGGGCGCATCCCTAGGGTTCCGCGGAACACCAATTGGGAAACGCTGCATTAAGCACATCACTTGACAGACTTATGTTTCCACATATATTGGAATATCCTGCAATTACCATCACAACATCAAAAGTAACACATGCTAGTATTATTGATACGATTGGCATGATTACTTTGTATATTATTTTGATACACATACTGTGATGATCTCTGCTCAAATCTGACTAATATACATACAGAATCTACCATACACTGGACCTACTTTTTACCAACATTTAAGCCAGTCATGTATACTGTGTGGTAGACCTGTTTTCATGCAATATAGGAATAGCCTTACAAGGCTCAGGAATTTATGTATATAGCCATTTTGCTGATACGTTTTTGTTACATTTGTCTCCACCACAGAGATCACACCATTACTTTAGATACTGGTATATATCCAGGGAGCCCTCTCCTCACTTATGTGAGAAGATTTTGGCTTATTCTTTTTTCCTTATAGCTCCTCCTAGAAGCATTGCCAATCTGTGAACAGGGAATTATACCTCCTGGCTCTCATGCCACTGAAATGGTATGTCAATTTTGATATAAGTACTTGGAAGAGAAGCTGTAAGTCCAAATATTGACCAGTCCCTGTGATGACTGGTGCTGCTAATGGTGTGAGACAGTGACAGACGGTAGTCACTGCAAGTTTTTCACATTGACGTACTATGTTTTACCTGTACTTTGTTTTTTGGTTGGTTTTGGCACTTAACATTGGCTATGTTACAGTATTAAAAAAAAAAAAAAAAGGGAGAGTTATTTTTATTTTTGAGTTTTGCAGCCTATGTCTTCGTGGTAGGCTTTTATGCAAATTTGTAAACCATAGTGGTTACAATTTACACTTCAAAATAACTGGTGAGGAAAAAAAAACCAGCATGGTGAAGTCTGCCTTTAGGATCTACCTCTGCAGCTATTATTGGTGCATACCATTTACAAATTGAGGTGGCGGGTGTACTTTGAGAAGTGCATGTAAGTTTGTTTTACAAAAAGTTCACATTTTAACTTCTAGAACAATAAAACCGCTACAAGGATGAATGTCACATATTTTAAATTCCATTCAGAGTAAATGGAAATGTTAGAACGATTTTGCTCAAATGAAAGCGAGAAAAACTTTAGCAATGAAACCAACTCCTGGAGCTAAGTTGTTAAAAATGTTTTCTTTCCCTGATAATTTGTGATCTCTGTTAGCTGAAAAACACACAGCCTCAGCAACCCCATGTGTCGTTTTGTTTCAGTATATCCCTTCTAAGGATTCTCTCTGCATGGGGCACTATAATTGGCTCCTCCAAAGATAGCGCAGATCCTAAGAAATATTTATATAACTGGGTTTTTATGGGGTGGGGGGCAGAAGGAATCCAATTTTATACATTAACAAAATCTGCTTGTGTAACATATTTCAACATACATGTACCTTATTCTCTTATATATTTTATTTCTTCTTCCTTTTCAGGAAATTTGTTCCAAAGCGCAGAAAGATCGTCATAGATTTTGATTCGATCAATACCAGACAGAGTCTGAAACCACTGTAAAAGCTCTTTTGTTAAATTCAGAAATAATATCAAAATGGCTTTTTCACGTATATAAAACCATAAAATATTATCTCTCACACGATTATATATTTTTTTTCTCTGTATAGTTTTAGTATTACACAGATTTCATTGAACATTCTGCTTTTCTAGTATATTTGAACTATCTTCTGTGTTTATTGATAAATTCCTGTGAATCTTTACTTTTTGGAAAAAACACATGGATGTATCAATTTCACCAAACATGCTGTGTTAAATTAGTATGCTGTAGACTCCTTATTAAACTGCTGAGAATCGGCTTAATTAACCAACTGTTTACTAAAGACTGTTACTGTACGAAGTCCTGGAATGGAATACATATACGTTTTCTAGTGCGGAGAACAGAATTCAAACTGAAATTAGTGGTTTTAAACCATTTATGTGCTCTGTTGGCATCACCTTCATTTTTTTTTTCTCTTCTCCAAACAGTAGTTTTTCAATTTTCATATGGCGGTTTGCTTTAAGAGTATATATATATATATATGTGTGTGTGTGTGTGTATGTATGTATGTATATATATATATATATATATATTAGTGTAAGACGTACAGTTATAAAGTTAATGTTAGTAGGTTAGAATGGGTTAGTAGGTTTTACTACTTCATGTTTAAGTGTCTTTTTAAAGGTGCTGCTATTAAAAACACATGAAACTGGTTATTGGTATGTTTTTGTTTTTTCTACTTTTAAACTGTGATACAAGGTTAGGATGTTGACCTTGTGTGTTTTGTTTTATTTTTTAAGCATGTTCTTTAGAAAGATGTTTATCTTGATGGCACAAGTGAACCACGTTTTGATTTATAAGGCGCAAACCCCCTACCCCCATGCTAATTGTTACTTATGTTGATTTGATTATTCTATCACACCTTTTGTTACATGCACTAGGTGTAGCCATTACCAAAACTGACACGACCACACATATGCCATTCTCCATTGTTAATTCTTTTTTAAATAAATTGTATGATGATGATTTCAATAGGGAATGAAAAACGTTTTACAACCACTTGATAAAGCTAAGGTATCTGACCCATAAAGGTCGTATCCTAGATCAGTGTTCCCCAACCCAGTCCTCATCGACCACCAACAGTCCAGGTTTTGTCATCTTTTGTATCTCAATTAGAATAAAACAGGGAGACACATAAATCCTGAACTGTTGGTGGTCCATGAGGACGGGGTTGGGAAAACACTGTCCTAGATAATATGATAGTATGTTAAGTCTATTTTTACATTTAAAGGAACACTCCACACACTAAAGCTCTTCAACGTGCTGACATGCTTTCTGTCCGGAGTCCGTTGTATGTTGGACTGGGAAAGAAAAGGCATCAAACGAGATCTGCAGCTTTTGCTAAATATTTTATTTTGATATTGCATATGTAATTAAATGCAATGCATGTTTTTCACTGTGCTTTTTTTTTTCAGTATAGCATTTTTAAAGGATTAAAGGTACACTTTATAGCTTTGTCCAACATCTGCCACTTGGGCCTGAACAATGTGTTTTATGTATATAACCCAATTTAAAATGCTTTTTTGTTTACATAAACTGTGGCAAGATGTGTGCCCAGGTATTTGATTCCTTCTAATATGGAGTGCAGAATTTTTTTTTTTATTTTTATTTTTTTAACATGCATTTTTAATTTGTGGTAGGGTGCAGTTTTCACTTGTCAATAATATGTACTGGTGCTGAGACTGGCAGTTGGGGTATACTAAAACATATCATTTGAAAAAGGCCAATTTCAATAAGATTAGGGCAGCTTTACACCTTGTTGACTGGCATATCCTCTTTAGTGACTGAGGATAAATGGAATGTTTTTTTTTTTTAAAAAATACTAGTATGTACCATTGGGTAATACATATGAAATAAACAACAATAAAAATTAAAAACTAATGTGGCTTAGTGTGAAGGCAAACTAAGAAATTTTAAAATAAGAAAAGAGAATTTAAATAAGACAAATCAGAGGTATTCTATATAAGGTAACCAATAATGCACGCAAAAAGGCGATTGGTTGGGCTGAACTAGAACATGAGAATGTGAAACCCAGAGTGAGCAAAACCAACCTCAAAGAATGCAAGTACAAAAATCATATGAAAATATAGAAGAAAATAAAAGTGTAGGTACACTGAAAAGAGGTGTTATTTATGCCTTTTCCTGGTTTTAATTTTTTTTTTTTTTTTTTCCTCCGTATATATTAAGGAGGAACCTATGGACAAAAGATATGCAAATGACTGCTGCAAAAACCTTGCAGAAAATGTTGTGATTTGATGACTCAAGACAAGGTGCTACAGCAACTAAAGAAAGTTAATCTAATCAAAGCCTCAGGGCCTGACTGTATTCATCCATGTGTACCCAAGGTGTTCATTGTAGAAATAGGTGAACCTGTTTTTGTAATTTGTGATTATTTTCTTTCATGCATTGTACCAGAGGATTGGAGGAAGACTGATGTGGTTCCTATAGTCACTAACAAATTTCTTGCCTGGAAAGTATAGATCTGTGAGCTTAACTTCTGTGGCTGGGAAAGTATTTGAAGGCTTATTAAAGGATAATTTTTCAGAAATTAATTAGTAAGAACATTAGCAAAAATCATCATGGTTTTATGAAACACAGGTCATGTAAAACAAGCTTAATTGTATTCAATTAAAAAGTAAGTAGAAATATAGAGCAGGGTGTTGGAGTGTATTTGAAATACTTGGATTTTTCCAAGGCATTCGATACAATGCTGGGTAGAACTTGTTCTTAAGTAGAACATTGGCTTAAGGATAGAGTACAATTTTACAATAATGGTACATTTTCATGCTGGACAAACAGGGTTCTGTTTTGGGACTGCTTCTATTTAACGTATTTATAAATTATCTTGAAATAAACATTGAAAGCCATGTTTCATTGTTTGCAGATGACACAACTTTGTAAAGTAATAAAATGTGAGCAGGATATTGCTTTGCTGAAGAGGAATTTGGATAGATTGGGGGACTCGGCATGTCCTATCTCGCTACTGCCTTTTGCGTCAAAGATCCTTGAAAGAGTTGTGTATGCGAGTTTGACAGACTTCCTCAAGTACAACTCTCTGCTAGACCTGCTTCAGTTTGGTTTCCACACTCAGCACTTTGTGGAAACTGTACTGACCAAAGTATCCAAGGATCTACTCGCTGCAAAATCTCGTGGTTACTTCTCTATCCTAATTCTCCTTAACCTTTCTGCGACTTTTGACACTGTTGATCATCTACAGCTTCTTCTCATCCTCCGCAATATTGGTCTACAAGATATTGCTCTCTCTTGGTGCTCCTCCTACCTCTCCCAGCACTCTTTCAGTGTTTTGTTTCTCTCCTTCTTCTCCCTAACTCCTTTCTGTTGGTGTCCCACCAAGGTTCAGTCCTTGGTCCCCCACTGTTCTCTATTTATACTGCCTCCCTTGGTAAACTCATTAGCTCATTTGGTTTCCAATATAATTTGTGTGGATGACACGCAAATCTATCTCTCCTCTCCTGATCTCTCCCCGTCCTTCTTGATTAGTATCTCTGTCTCTCTGCTATTTCTTCCACCTAATCACACATGGAAAATATCAATTTGAACTTAGCTTTTTGGATACTTGCTTCCCTTAAGTTACCTCCCAACTTGCTAACTATACACAACTGTTACAAAATACAAATCGATCAGGGATCCAGCTTGTACCACTAGAATATAAACATTAAATGCAAGATGGTGTAATAAAGTTACAATTTAAATAATTCATGTTTCAAGGTTACACTCACAAATTGATTATTTTCATCAAGCCCTCAGGTTCCCTCCCCTATGTCTAGGGGGGTTCCTCCTGTAGTTTGGTTACCACGCCAATTCCAGAGTCAGGAAGTCCACACGCTCCCAATGGTTGGTAAAAAAAAGGAATTTATTGGCTTTAAAGTATAAAATACTATTACTGGTCCTACACGTTTCATCTCCCCTAGGAAACTTCCTTAGGGACCAAAAGTAAAACCAAAGCTGTTAAAACATACAATTACATACTTATATAGGGCTTGATAAAAATCATCAATTTGTGAGTGCAACCTTGAAACATGAAGTGATTATTTAAATTGTAACTTTATTACACTATGTTGCATTTTATGTTTATATTCTAGTGATACAAGCTGGATCCCTGGTCGATTAGCATTTTGTAATCTATGCTATTTCTAACTGGATGGATGCTCACTTCCTAAACTCAACTTGACCAAAACTGAAATTCAAGTGTTGCTACTCCTGTGTCTGTCTCCCTCCAAGTCAACAGTGCTACGGTCAGCTTCACCACGCAGGCTCGCTGCCTAGGTGTTCTCTTTGACTCCGACCTCTCCTTCACACCTTATGTTCAGTTTATCGCCAAATCCTGCCGCTTCCATCTCAAAAACGTTGCGCGTATCCGACCCTACTTAACACCCGATGCAACTAAGGTGCTGGTCCATTCCACTGTCCTTTCTCGCTTTGACTACTGTAATCCACTTCTCAGTGGTCTTACGTGCTCCCAACTTATGCCATTTCAGTCCATAATGAATTTGGCGGCAAGGCTCTTCTTCCTGTCAGCCCGCACCTCCCACACCTCACCCGTCTATCAGTCCCTACATTGGCTTCCTGTAAGATATAGGGCTCAATTTAAAATTCTGGTTATTGCTTTCAAATCTCTACATAATGTCTAGGGAATTATGTCTATTTTATGTCCGTACTCCCACCTCTGATGCTTGTCTTCAAGACTTATTGAGGGCTGCACCATTCCTGTGGAACTCACTTCCCTCCTCTGTTAGATGCTCATCCAGTCTCCATTCTTTAAAAAAAAAATCATTAAAAACTCACTTCTTTATAAAAGCGTAATGAGTCAATTAAACTATTAATAGCTCCCGACTGATTTCTCTCTTGCAACTGTCATTAGTCTAATACTATCCTTACCTTTTGTGTCACTTTCCCCCCACTCCCTCTAGCTTGTAAGCTCAATGAGCAGGGCCCTCAACCCCTCTGTTCGTGTGCGTCCAACTTGTCTGGTTATAACTACATGTTTGTTCGTCCACCCACTGTAAAGCGCTGCAGAATTTGTTGGTGCTATATAAATAATAACAATAATAAGTTATGCACTTCGGGGTCAAGAATGCACAACCAACTTACACCCTAAATGATAGTGAATTAGGCATAACCACAGACTAGAAGGATTTGGGAATTGTTATAGACCACAAATTAGGCAGCAAATGCAATGTCAATCTGCAGTTGCTAAGACCAGTAAGGTTTTTGTCATGTATAAATAGGGGCATAAATTCTCGGGATGAAAATATAATTTTGTCTCTTTATAAATTGTTGGTAAGATTGCACCTTGAATATGCTGTGCAATTTTGGGCACCTGTTCTAAAGAAGGATATCATGGCACTAGAAAAAGTGCAGAGACGAGCTACAAAATTAATAAAAGGAATGGAGCGTTTTAGTTACGAAGAAAGGTTAAGAAATGTAAATCTCTTTAGTTTGGAAAACGGCGCCTCAGAGGGGATATAACATTATAAAAATATATTCGGGGCCGGTATAAACCATTATCTGGAAATCTATTCATAAACCGGGCCATACATAGGACACGAGGTCACGCATTTAGGCTGGAAGAAAGGAGATTTCATCTAAGGCAAAGAAAGAGCAGTAAGGATATGGAATTCTCTGCCTGACAAGGTGGTTTTATCAGAGTCCATACAGATGTTTAAACAGCAATTGGA